TGGTATACCACTTTTCAAATGGAATATATATTTTTTTAATAGTGTCCTGTCTGGTAATGTGGCAATAGGAATAATTGTTTTGATGCCAAAAAGAGCCCAACAGATTTTGCTTTCACAAGTGGAGCAGTATGGCTATCGCCATAGTGTTCTGCTTGATTTATGCATATAAATAGCTTTATTATAATTCATGCAGGGAGTATAACAGATTTGATGGACACTGCAGTGTAAGTAGAACAGGAAATGGAAAAAAAAGGACAAAAGATGAAGGACGGAGGATATAAAAATGGATATAACGATAAAACATCTTCAGTCTCGAACTGGAATATTTTTCAAGTGGCATGGCTGATACCACTTTTCGCTCTATGCGCTGCTGCAAACCAGCATTGGCATTGTTCTACCTGGGTCTTGGTCAGACTGGACCTTGAGCCATAGATGCGTAAAACAGTGGGACTTTATCTTGACCTTTCACCAAGAATTTCCTGTTTTTCATCCTTCTGTCAATATAAAAAACAAGTCAGCATAAAGAAAAAAAAAAAGAGAGAAAAACTGGTCTATTTTTATTTAATATTTCTTAACTATGGGGTAGGGCGACTCTACATGAGCCCTTTATTTAAAAGGTTGTGAGGGCAGGTGGGCTCTCCTCATCCTCAGCAGGAAGTACATGTTCTTTTGTGCCCTTGTGACCAGTGAGGTTCTGTTTACAATCCAGGTGAGGTTGTCTGTGACGTGCATCCCCAGGAATTTGGGGGTGCAATAAGTGAGAAAAGATGGATGGTTATTTGTTTAGCAGCTTTTCTCCTTTTTGTTCTCAATTCTATATCCAAACATTTTCAGCATGGAAACATTTCAGAAGATAGCTTTTTTTTAATGGTTTTTCTTCTCTCACTGTGGCTATGGGCAGAGACTGCTGGGGGACAACAAATTTTTACAGCTTAGGGAGAAGCATACAAGCGAAAGGCATCCTGCACAGCAGAAGGATAATGCACAAACATGTTTGGACTCTTTGCCTTGTGACCTTAAATACCTTCAGGGTTTAAAGACAACTTAGCTAAACAGTCGAGTCTCAAATTACTTGCTCACATTGGAAACACAGCTATGATATTGTAATAACTAGGCTTTAAACCAGTTTTGTGTTTTGTTCCTTTCATATAAAAGGCCACAAAGCGTTTCCACTTTCTATAAGGAACACCAAAAGCAAAATTTTATTAGTTCTTCTCCCTGTCAGTCAAAACTTTTGGACCAATGGGAAGCGCTTCTATAGGGGCGTGGAACGAGGTGAACGGTGATTGGTCGGACCGCACCAGGCCTTGATCAATAACACCGACAAGAGGGCGGAGGGTTTAGGCTGTTTTTCATTCAGTCTTCCTCCGGGAAATTTAACGAAAAGAACAAGTCTACAAGTATTTCTTTTAAATAAATTAAAGGTATGAGATATAAGACACAACACTGTGTTCGATAGGTTGGTGTTGCTATTTTTTGTAAACTGCGTATTTTTAGCTAAAATTAGCTATGTAGCCAAGTAGCTAGCTAGCTAATGCGTAACATTTAACGATAAAAACGAAACAGATGATGTATTTACGTTTCGTATTGTTTTTAGTATTCACCCACTTTATGCTTACGTATTTATTTAGAGCCCGAATAAGCACAATTATGTAGGGGTACGTAATAGGATTTACCCTGCTAATGTCAACTAGCATGAAGCTAAAGTTAGCTTCGGTATTCAGGGGTATTAAAACATCTCAGATCGAGTTTAATATGAAAGTGAAAAGGCAGACGGGTTGTAAACACTTTCACACTCCCAGTAGGTTTTGCTTTATTTTTTAAAATGATGGTAACTGACGTTGATAAAAACGATGGTTTCACAACGTTAAAAACATGCTAATGTTTTGCCAGTAAATGCTTCATAAGTTTGTCGTTACTGTTGTTTTTGACTGTCTAATGAATTGTGACGCGTTAAGTTCAGTATTTTCTTCCTGAATAACAACAGTTGGATGTCTAATTTTAATTTAGAGACCTAAATGTTTTGATCAGGATTGTAATTGATGCTCTCTTTTTTATGGACCATTGATTTCATGTTATGTTTTTTTTCCACTAGTGTTTAGAGTGCATCCCGGGTTTAATTTAAATCAATAAAAATAAATTAATATTGTAGAGTTATATTTATTTTAATACATATTATGGAAGATGATTCAAGTGTCTTTACCTTTATCACCTTGAAATTAACCAGATCCTATCAGTTATTGGGATTCCACCACATTTAGTGTTTTTCTCCTTCACCAAGGGATTTTATTCTTAGGTTATTAGTCTGTTTAGGTGATTGTTGATTTTAAATGTAATCCAAGAGAAACGGAACACAAGCAAACTATCTGCCTGAAAGGTAAATCAACATGATGTAAAAACAATCTTAACTCCCAGCATTGCTTGCTATCCTGTCATGGAAAGTTTTTCAGCTGTAGGAATGTTTGGATCTGACTCCATTATTTAGCTTTGTAGCTATTATTCTCTTTCTGTTCCCCAGTTTATCTTTTAACCTCTTGTTTTTTTAGTGAAATAAGTTTCTTAGGTTTCCATGTTATTATCTTCCACATGAGCTTCCTTTTTCGTTGGAGTTCTGCCTCCATGAGGCTCAACAGTTTAACAGTTTTTCATTCTGTAAATTATGAAAAATTATCAATTTTATTAGAAGATAAATCAGTGTTCATGGTGCAGAGTGATAAACCACTGTTACTGTGGATGCTGTGGCTATTTATGACCCTACTTAAGATTTTGTATTCCTATCATCTCTGTTTCTCTTCAGTTTGAACTTTTCTTTGCCTCAACAGCTGCTCCTTCCTCTGTGAGTGTGTCTTCAGGGTGATGTCAGCTTCCTGCCTTGTGCGCCTGGCGAGGTGCAGTGCTCTGTTCCAGAAGGCTTTTGATCCGATGCCCTTTAAGCTCACTAGCCACAAAACAGATTACCCGTTCCTGTGCAGACAACTCTATGGACCTTCTGGGAAGCGATACAGCAACACACGCTTTGATCCAGACAGCAGTGGCCGCCTAACAACTTGGGATTCCTTTGGCATTTGGGATGATCGTATCGATGAGCCCATCATGCTCCCCCCCAGCATTCGTTATGGCAAACTTATTCCCAAAGTAAGCTTATCTAAAGTAGGTAGTGCTTCCCTCATTGGTCAGCGCAAGGAGAATGAGGATCGGTTCCAGGTCTCCCAAATGACTGAGAACATCCTGTATTTTGCTGTGTTCGATGGGCATGGCGGCGCAGAAGCAGCAGACTTCTGTGAAAAATACATGGAGAAATTTATCAAGTAGGGGACATGTACATATACCTTTTTATTATTAATGGAAATAAGTGAAGAATTTCAGATCTAACTGATGACTTCTTTCTTTTACTTTTCAGAGGCATTGTGGCTGAGGAAGATAATCTGGAATTAGTTTTAACCAAGGCATTCCTTGAAGTTGATAAAGCTTTTGCAAGGCACTTGCATTTCTGTCCAAATGGTAGGTAGTCTTATTTAAATATTACTTGAATCATTTCTCTATACTGGATTGTAACTGTTTTTTGTTATTTAACACCCTAAAAAGTGGGAGAAGCATAGATGGGAATCGTGGAGTCACCAAGTCATTTCCACCTGTACTTTGAACTAAACTGTGCTGATTGGACTCTTGTGGTTCAGTGGCTGGACAGAACAAATACATAGTATGCAGATGACTTTCTGATTCCACAATTTCCATCTCTTGGGAGATGTACATCAAAACAAGTGGCTAGAAAACTTAAATAGTACTTCACTGTGGAAATCTTCCTGACTCATCGAATAAAGTTTATTTAATAGAGTCTCCTTTAGTGGCTTGCTCAGTGTCTGATGCTGTCTGTTTCTCTAGCTTTGTTAGCCATCTATTGATCAGGCTCAGATAGTTAGTACTCTTCTGGGCCTCAGCAGGTAAATAGAAGCTCGGCTAAACAGTTGCACGTTGAGGTTTTACACTGTCTTTGCTTACAAAAACTATATCCAAATACAGGTCAGTGCGTAAAAAAACAAAGGTGTGGGAAGTTTCTGCCGATATTATCCTGTCAACGTTATCATGAGGGCCGGGGAACCTTATCAAGAATTATTTGAAAATTATGTGTAGAGGCTCAACAGCTAAAGTTAGTGGCAGGCAAAGTCTTTTGTAGACAACTTTCTAAACACTTTAACATCATAATCCGACAGAAGAGGAGAAAATATTGATGACTATCTGCCCATTAGTTTTACTATATTTATAGTTGACTGACTCAGAGATGTAGAGCTCAGATGATTAGTTTGTGGTAGTATAGCTTAGCCTTCCAGTAGGGCTGAAACAATTAGGTTAATAATGATTAATCGATTATTGAAATAATCATCAACTAATTAAGTAATCGATTAATCGTTGCCTGGATTATAGAGACTCTAAAACATGCCATGCCTTTAGCTGACAGAGCGACCAACTTAAAGCAGTAATTATACCAAAATGCTCTATCCAGAACTGCTCAAGTGGAAAAATTATAGTTTCGCCTGCTTTAAGTTCATAAACAATGTTCTTTAAAAATCTTTTGCCATCCAATTATTTATTGATTAATCTAAAAAATAAATCGACAGATTACTCGATTTGCAAAACAATCATTAGTTGCAGCCCTAGTTTCCACGGCTGCAGTGGAATCGATCCCAAATTAATCAGAATACCAAACTGTTTCCTGCCATAATTCCAGTTTGGGATCAGGCACGAATTAAACCGTTTTCTGAAGTTCGGCATTAACTTATGAAAAGCAAAATAAAAGGTCCTAAAACAAAAAACAAACAAGGTAATTTCTTGAAAGAAGGCAGAGGCCTTATCGCCTCAGTGGGAAGTATTTAACTGGATATGACAAGAGGAATTGTGAAAGGAGATTTATTAATATGATTTTTTACACACTGTCTCTGTATGTTGATTAGCTTTAATAATGTGTTCAACCTGGAAGATGAAACTAAAGAACTGTCAGTAGAATGTCTGTTTTTCTTTTTACCAGAAAATTCCCTGAAATCATCAAAAAAAAAAAAAAAACACAGCAAAAACCAATTTCACTCAGGGAAACCTGGGATGTTTCTCAGTTAGCGAGCATTTCTAGAATAGGATTAAATCTTCCTGTAAAAGCTCAAAACGTGTTGTGGCCTAATTTTGGCCACGCTGTGTGAAATGTCCCAATATGCCTGTGTGTGTGTGTGCATGTTATCTACGACAGCTGCTGACCCAGCTCAGAGCTGGAGGCCCTTGGTACCAGTGTGGATGACGAGAGGATAGATATTGAAGGAGTGTCCAGCGGGTCCTAAATCCTGGACTACTGGAAGGTTCCCTATCTTTCTCTAAATCCTCTCTCTTTCTCTTCTCTCACCCAATGCATTATTCCTGTGAGACAATGCGTCTGTTTGAGATGTTCAGGATGTTTTTAGTGAACTGCCTTCAGTCAGTGCAGCATGATTAAAATGCAGCACTCTAAAGACACCGCTGGTGAAAAGCATTAAAGGTAATTCAATTTCTAAACCTCAAGATCTCTCAAACATTTAGAAAATCCAACCTTTATTGGAAGGCAAATAAAGCAGCACCATATTGATCCCTTTAAAGCAGAGCTCTGCAACCTTTCATATCCAAAAAGCCATTTTACTCTATGTGCGGCTACTTTAAATCATTTCAAATTGCTAAATTTTACATGACTTTTTAATAAAACCAACATATTATTTTTGTTAAATATCTGTAAGTTAGTAAATCTTTTTGCATCTCGAACAACAGTTTATTTTTATATGTTTTGCTTTTAAAATAAGGATAAAGAAAAAGGTTGATAAAGATGAGGCATGTATTTTCCTTTATAGGATGTTATTTGATGTACCAAAAAAAAAATAAAATAAAACAAGAGTTCAAAGACAATTAAAGGAAAAATAGCTCTATAATCAAATATTTTCTTTTGATGTCATTCTGTTGTGAAGTTAAATTATAATATTGTCTATAAAAACACTAAATGTTCAAAAACTGATATTTATTATAGCACACAAGTTGGTTCTTTATATCATTTTTTGCCACTATTGAGAACCATTGCAGAAGCTCCAAAGGCAGAGTGCTTTTTGAGGCCATAGATTTTGCATGGTTTAAAAACATTTGGTGGTTTAGCCTTACTTCCCTTTTTCTAATTCCATCTTTAAAAATGCCCTTTAGAGTCTAACGTCAAACATTTTCCCTTTACATTCATCCTTGGTGCACCCCTGCTGAATGGCCCATCACAATTTCACTGACTACTGGAAATAGAGAATTAACTACATTATGCGCATTTCCTGCTTGGTACCTTACCGCCTTGTTTTGTTTGTATGACCGCCATTGCGGAAAAAGTCATTTTTCGCCCTCATGTCCCTCTGTTGTCTCACAAACTTGCCCCCATTTCCTCACCGCCTCTGCCATATCTAGACCCAGAGCTAGATCAGGATTGTCCCTTTTGCGTTTTAGCGTGGAATACCATAGCGCAAACCATGCTTCAATATTGGGTATAAGTCAAAAATATCTGCGTCATACCTGCGACAAGCTCACTGCGACACACTGTTGTGGGTGTATAACCAGCCCTTTAGAAATGCTTCTGATGTAGGGGGTGAAGACAAATGTTTAAACTGTAACAGAATGGGAAAGTAAGAGAAGAGAAACAAACTGCTAAAGATTCAGCGTAATAATGCAGCTTAAAAGGGCCTGCCTGTGTAAAGCACTGCTGCAGAAGGAAATAAAGTCTCACCACTTGGGTTAGATAAAACTCTGCTCCAGTTAATGATCTAAAAGTCACTCTGTGGGGTTTAGGTCCTAGTAATTTTAAAGCAGTTTGCTCTAAAACAGATGGTATTCTCTCTTCTCTTTCTCCTCTGCCTGCATCATCTCCACAAAGTGATCACATCTGCCACACTTGTCACAGCTGCCTATAGGCTGCGCGTAATACTATGAGATAAGTAATGAATGCATTTATCTGCTGCTTAATTGGATCCCTCTGCAATTATCACATAAACATATTTGCATCCTTTCCTTCAATTGCACCCTTAAGCTTAAACATGAAGTGTTCGAGGCAAAAACCAGTTGGACAGCATTTACAGCACACATCTGTGCATCTGATCAACAGTCATACCTGGCTGTCAATTTCTTATTTAAATGCCTCACTAATGAGAAATCCTTGCAAAGGCTTATCAGAATATCTTTATAGTTGATCCTTCCGCTAAAATGAAATTCCTTCAGAATAACCTTGTCAATCATGTTGATTTGTTCCTCTAAAGGGCAGATTATGAATCTTCTGCAACCGCACACATCAAATGTCGCTAGGGTCTGATTGCAAACCAGTTTTGCTGGTATGCACCATCGGTCTGGAATTTCTAGGGTTGCACATCAGTTTCCCGCCAAAGCCCAAGAACTCGCAAGAACTTTGGGGGAAGGTCACGAGAACTTCGGCGGCACCGGCAGGAGTGTTTACCTTCGAAAACAAGTCTGCAAGATATCATCGTCACGGAGATGGAACTAGAGTTGCAATGGAGTTGGCAAAAAGACAAAGGAGGACGCGTAGGTTGTTTATTGTAGTTTTTCCTCGGTTTTTAAAAATGGCGCGCCCCGGCACCGAATCGGGAAGGGCGACCTCACAGACATGATTGTCAGACGCGTAGTCAGGATTTTTTTTAGGTGCACGACAATGGTTGCAGAACCTCTGCACGGGGGTGGTTTTCACGCACAGAGACACATATGACAGTTGCAGAGGCTATGCATACAGTTTCAGAAGGTGTTCTGTAGGTGGATAATGTTTATGTATTTCGTGCACATATATTTTTTCTCCTGGGCTCCGTACTTTCCAGTGAAATAAAGCTCAAAACAAAGATCTTGTAACTGTTCCCAGTTAAAGGTTGGATCTAAATAAATGTTTGATTTTTGCAGTCTATCTACTTTAGTAGTCAAAACAGAAAGAAATGTACAACAAATCTAAACAAAACCATCAGGTCTGAATAACCAAGCAGTCAAAGCTGCTCACTTTTCATCTCATTCGGCCAAAGAAGAATTTATTTGGAGGCTCTTTGCTCGTCTTTCCCAGCGGTGTCAGTAACTATGAAGGATCAAACATGGATTATAGAGATTCAAATTAATTTCCCTTAAGGAACTAAACAATGCTGCTGTTACCTGCACATTTGTAGCCTAGTTTAAATGTTTTATAGAGAAGTTGCTCTTAGCCCATTATAAGAACATCAGTTTAGGAATGATTCAGTTGGTCTTTTTTCTTAAGACCGACTGTTGGCTGTCTTTACACCTGTGTCATTCTCGGGCAGCAAAAAATTATATTTAAACATTTTAGATCAGCTTTGGTGTTATTATATAAGACTGGACACTTTAGATATGTTGTGTTTTATTTGTTTTCAGTGTTCATATTTACATTAAACTGCTACAGGCTTTGCTGCAGATCTCACAGTTGTTCCGCAGTTCTTCAAACTGTAGTTTGCCTCCAGTATTAGACAAAGTCAGCCTGTTTGTTTACGCCTTGCTTTGTGGATGTGACTGTTGACCTGCTGTGTTTCTTATTGTCTTGTTTTGCTGCTGACAGCTCCTGTTTGTCTTTCTAGGACCAGGAATCAATGCAGGAACCACGGCCACCGTGGCCCTGCTGAGGGACGGCATCGAGCTGGTGGTCGCCAGCGTTGGGGACAGTCGCGCCATGTTGTGCCGTAAGGGCAAAGCTCTTAAACTCACTGATGACCACACCCCTGAAAGAAAGGATGAGAAGGAAAGGTAGGTGGTGAAATGATTACCTCATTTTAGCCAAAGGAATACAGGGATGTTGATTAGAGCAGTGATCCCTGGGCCCCACACAAAAATAAAAAAATAACTTCCATTACCTTTTGTCTTACACTTTGTGCAGAATTAGTAGGCAAGTTGTATTGTTGAGGATTATTTTTATTATTGGGCCACAATCGTGTTCTCAATCAATGAATCAAACGAATTCGGTGACCAATATAGCCAGCTTTCTTCACCATGACACTCAAAAGCCTTCCATCCATAGATTCTGTAAGGCTATTTGCCATGAACCACTGGATTGTGCGATGATCCCGGTTCAAAAGCTTGCCAATTTCCAAACTGCTGCACCCCTCTGGAAGAAATCTGACCATTTTTTACTTTTCAGAGTCTGTCAAATCTTTTCTGAACCATTTCACCAAAGGAAAGGAAGTTGCCTAATAATTAAGCACACATTATAAAGGGTGTTGATTTAATTAGGCCACACCCCTTCTCATTACAGAGATGCACACCACCTGATTTACTTAATTTGTAGTTGGCTTTCAAGCATATACACTCTGGAGTAGGACAACATGTGTGAAAAGGATGATGCGGTTGAAATACTCATTTGCCTAATAATTCTGCACAGTGTATATATTTTCTGAACCTGAATGAAACTCAGGGCTTCCACTGATTCACTGCTAGCAGGCTTTTTTCATACACTTTGTTTTTCTGGTGTCCTATTTTAAAGGCATGTTTAATGTTACCATGGTAACCAGTTACAGACCGGTCTGAGGCTGGTTGGGGGCCACTCTTGAGTCCCGTTGACTGTACTTTAGTCACTTTATTCACATCTAATTTTTTAGATCAAACAAATGCTATAATCAGAAAAAGTTACCTCAAGCAGACAGACTGCACACCAGAAATTGTGACAAACATCCCCCCATCTGTGGACTAATAACTGTTGTTTTATCAATTTGCTGTGTACGGGTTGCTACATTTTTATTTACCGGTAAGTATTTTTTTTGTTCAGTTTAACCAGCAAACACGCAAGCCTAAACGTTGCCAGTCCCGAAGCATGAGAAAACTGTTTGCTTTTACTGTTTCATTTTACTGTCAAAAAAAAGGAAACTGCAATCAATTTGAAGCTGCCCTCATTTCTTTAAGGCTTCCATGGATGTGGATTTACTTCTAATTCCTTATAGCTTTAACCCACAGCTCCTTGGCTTTTCTGAAATTTGTTGTAATTGTAAAGAAGGGATAGTGTCCCAAAAGACGAGGGTTGATCATAAATGGTGGTGTGGCTAATATGTAATTGCAGGAATACGACCAAAACAAATTTCTGCTGAAATTGTTGAGCACTATTGAATGATCACTTTACTTTGGGTCTTGCCTATAAGCAGGCTTTCCAATTAAAAGAACAACAATGATGTGTCAAAAAAAAAAGATCCTTGTTGTTGATTGGCGATATGTTGTCAGTCAGGCTGGTGTTTGAGAACAACGCCTCTGAGGGGTTCTGCACAGAAAGAGGAAAAGCAACTTTGGCATTTTTATCGCTGGATATTTTCCCCTTGTAGAAGTTGTGTAGATCGTACTTCCAAGTCGGCTTTAGCTTCAGTCTAAAACATGCTAACTTTTGTGTATACCTGGCTCCCATCCCCAGGATAAAGAAAAGTGGGGGGTTCATCACCTGGAATAGTCTGGGACAGCCGAATGTGAATGGCAGACTGGCGATGACTCGCAGCATCGGAGACTTTGATCTGAAAAAGACGGGAGTCATTGCTGAGCCAGAGACCAAAAGAGTAACGGTAAGTTCATATCTGAAGGCATAGCAGTACCACCTTTTCTTAACATTTTCTGGGATTAATGCTCCACCTCGTAGATGACAGGTATGTCTCAGAAATTTAGCATATTGTCAAACATTGAATTATTTTCGTCATTCTTTTCAGAAAGTGAAACTATCATATTTATTGCTTGATGATTATGACTTACTTACAGACGACAAACCATAAAATTAACAGTTTTAGTATTTAAAATGTAAAATATATGCATTTAAAAGGGAATCGTTGGTTTTACAAATGTTATGGACATATTATAACCCCGAGCATTATGGGGAAGACTACTGAACTGACAGGTTGCCATCCATGCCTCCAAATTGTGCGTACCCCGTACAGGTTGGTCAGTGTTGATGTGAGCGACAGCACATTTCCATACCGTTTTTGTTTTTTACAGCACCACATTTGTTAGTAACGTGGCATCACATCCCGTTTTGTGCGTCTGGCAGCTTTATAAATGGGATTCCAGATGGCCATAGAGAATCTATGGATACCAGAACCAAGAATGCTGATGACCTGAAGGCAGCTATTAAAGCAACCTGAGCTTCTATTGTCTTTATCTGTCAACCATAATTATCAAATTAAAAGAAGTAAATCCTTTGAAATATGCTACTTTATGTATAATAAACCTATATAACATGTTGTTTTCTTTTATAAATTAAGACAAAAATATGAGAGACGTTTACAATATTCACATTTTTTTTTATATTGTACTTAATCTTATATAAATGTTTCCTGGACAAACTACCAATTTATGTGTCTAAAAAAATGATTTGTGTTCCTTGTCTGCAGCTGCATCATGTCCACGACTCCTTTCTGGCTCTGACCACAGACGGCATTAACTTCATCATGAACAGCCAGGAGATCTGCAACGTCATCAACCAGTGTCACGACCCCAAAGAGGCAGCTCAGAGAATATCCGACCAGGTAGAAAATACTTCACACTTGGAAAAAGATTTCAGAACTCAGAAACACAAGGAGAAAAAGGAGTTTTCATATTTTTATCTTCTCACAACCACAGCTTATTGTATAGTTTATACCAGGGGTAACCAATTAAAAATCAGGGGGGTCCGAATAAAGAAAACATATCAAGGTGCTCATTTTGAGACTGGATCCATATTTATTTTTGATTATGGTCATGGTGGACAATCCTGCTTCACAGCAGCAGGTTGAGCCAAACATCCTCTAAATGTTCAGGCTCCGCTCCGGTCCGACCAGGTCAAGATCTGCATTTGCAATCACACCAAACAGGAAAAAGAACGGTGAGAAGATCCGGTTTGTCAAATTTAAGTATAGTAACAACAGATCGGTAACTACAAATTAGAGAATAATTCTTATATATTTCAAAAAACTAACGCCGTTTATTTAAAGGATTGGATGCAAACTATTGGTAATTCAACAGACCAGGAAGCAGATTTCTCAGAAACTGCAGATATGCTGGATGCTGATGGGGATGATTTAATGTCATATTAAATTAAGCCTTCTTTTTTGCATGTTTTGCTCCTACGAATTTAATGATACTATTGCGCACGCTCTCCTCGAGCTCCGAGGATAAGTCGGAGTGCAGCAATACAGGAGGAACAGCGGAGGCTGTAGGCTTTGCTTTGCGCAGGAGGTCTGGAGCGCTGCGGGGACAGTGGAGCGGAGACAGAATATGTGTGATTTCAGGGCAACAGTGGCACATGTTACGTTTAGACACTGTCATCAGACAACATGCCATAAATTGGGTTGGGTCTGGATTAGCCAGCAGGTGGGTCCGGATCCTGACCTCTGGTCTATACCAAAACCTAAAAGCTTAATCTCTGTTTGAACACTTATATAAATGAAACTGTTTGGAGAGAGCAGATGGCTCAGCAGGAAAGAGTCGGTAATAGATTTGAGGGCATCAGCTGGTAAACTAGCAAACTCCAAATAGCTTCACATTGAAGCAACGCAACATTACCTGAACCAATAGCAAACATTGCCGCAATTTATTTTCCACATCAGGTTAGTGAAAGTTTAAGGCAGCAACATTCAAGATGAGGAGGAATATTAATGAACGCAGTCATGTTTTCTGAGACTGAACTTGTCTTTTTGTTATTATGTACCGAAGTTTAGGTACAAAGTTTTAGGCCCCCCCCTGTCTATTGATAGAAAAACCCTCCACAGTAACAGTGTAAAGGAAAATATTTAATACTTGACCTTAAAACTTTTAGATGATTTTGCTTTCTGTTTATTATTTCTAACCAATCATGCAGTTTCAACTTATTCCCAAGTTACGCCAATGAAAACTGACCAGACTTAATTCACAAAATCCCTTGTAGATTATATTGTATTAAAACATTTTTAAGCTCTCAATTATTGTGATTGTTTAAAACCACTTCACCCCATGATAATATAGAGTTTAAATAATATGTTGTCATCAACATTATCATCTCTACTCATACTTTAAAGCCTACAAACCTAGCTACTGGCATTTAGTTTATTTAGAAAGGTATTATCTGTCAATGTTGTGTTGTGAAAATTCTATACATTTTTCGTGAATTTACATTAATCACCCTCTTTTTGATAATTTATTCATTATCTAGTGTGTCAGTTCTCTCATCTTTTCCATCTGGATCCTGTCTGATGTTCGCTGACCCTCTGGGATCAACCGAAAAGCCCATAATGATGCTAGTGTCGCCTGAGGCAGAGGGCATCCTGTCACTTCTTCAATGTCTTTATATCAATCAGCTGCATCCGTCCTTATGAAGTTCAGATAAAAAAAAAATAGTCTTTATTGCCTCTAGAGTGGAATCTTTCCTAAGGCCAACCTGAGTTCAAATTTATTTAAATGTTGTCTATCCTTTTCATCCAAAGTCTAGCTTTTAGTAGTTTAAACAAAAGTAAAACACAAAAACAACCATTTTATTAACTTCCTGCTTTAAGTGAGACAAACAAAAAAATGAAACAAAATCAGACAAAACACAAGATAACATTTACAACAAACTGGTCCATTCAAAATTTGGGTAACCAATTTTTAGGATCATCCTTTCAATCATTTAGTCCCTCTGGCAGAAAACCGGCTCTCTGTTTGGGTGCTTTTCATGGGACACAATTACAACATTTCACCACCATACTTCATGTGACCTTTTAGGTCACACTGAAAACACAGAAATGAAAGCAAAACTGTAAGCTCCTCAAAATGTCCTTAAGTTGGTCCAAAACAACCTTGGTTAGCCATGGAATAAAAGTTAGTTTACACTAAAAACAAACTCTCCATACACCTTTAGGAAACGGCTGTAACAGAAACAAGAGCTTGTCAAAGGTTCCTAGGTCATGTAAAAACTGGCACTGAGGGAACGCATTTGCTATCTTGAAAGTGTGTGTAATAAAAATGGTTTGTTACATATTTACCACAACGGGCGTTAAGGGGTTAATGGTGTATTTGACTTCATTTAAAGAGCAAAAATATAATCTCCTCACCAGGTCTGATTTCGACAGCCGTATCGTAGCTTCCCAGTCCAATTTAAGCCGGACGTACACTGTGCGATATTTTCAATCGTTGCACACAGCTACAACACATGTTGTACGACGAAAATGCAGGGTTTAAAAGTTCACAGCTCACGATGTATGTTCTCACACTCTGCGGCCCGACGCTCTGATGCGATCTACCTGCTCACACTGCACTTCCAAAAACCCCACGTCAGACTGAGCGCCGAGAGATGGCGCTGGTCAGAAAATCTGGAAGAAGAACAACTCCCTTGTTTGAACTTGCACAGTGCTCGAGGTTCTGGTAAATCGGCTCATAGCTCTGCTTCAACAGCAGGATTTGTCTACGATAGGGGTGGAACGGTTCACAAAATCCACGGTTGGGTTCACGGTTTCGTGGTCACGGTTTTCGGTTCGGTTTGGTATATGTTGATTGTTAGGAAAATCAAATATGTCTTGTATAGTACAATACGTGTTGAACAATGCTTGCACACTGTTGCACTTTTATCCACAACTTTTTTTCCGCCGTCATTGTAGGTCTCTCTAAATGCAAAGTGGTCCCATACAGCAGACCAATAAAGTGCTGCGGGCGATTTTTTTCTGCTACACCCAGCTACGCTGCTTCGCTTCTTCTTCTTCTTGTTTACTACTGGTGGTTGGCTTTGGTCGCAGTACCGCCACCTTCTGCTCTGGAGTGTAAACGCTTCGCCTATGAGATAAAGAAGCAGCGCATGAACCGAACGAAACACACGCGAATCGAACCGAGACAGTCGAACCGAACGGTTCGGACGGTTTTCATAAACCGTTCCATCCCTAGTCAACGAACACCTCATGAGGGCCCCTTTTTACCCCCTGTACACGATCAGGCTGAAACTAAGCCCGATCTAAAGAATCTGGCTTTAAAATACACTGTTTTGTGTTTTAAACGTGGTCTTTGTCTCTTTTAGGCTCTTCATTACGGCACTGAGGACAACAGCACCATCATCGTGGTGCCGTTTGGTGCCTGGGGAAAACACAAGAGTTCAGACGTCAGTTTCTCCTTCAGCAGGAGCTTCGTGTCCAGTGGCCGCTGGGCGTAGTCTGCAACCACCTGGATTCAAGAGATGCTTTCTGCAAGCTTGATCGACGTGCAATATAAGCTGAACCCAGACAATGATACCTTATAGGTTTGACATGTTGTTTAGAGCAGCTTGATGTGCAGCTTCTGTGAAGAACGGGGCTGTGGATTCATGATGTAACTAGATAATTTCCCTTGTTATATAAGGTTTTATACGACTTGTAATGCTGCAATGTTGTGGTGCTGAAAACAGAGAAACCTTTGAATGGCAGGCTGAAAGACTGAATGACATGAAAGCTTGGCCATTGAGAAATACCAAATTAAATGTTAATGAAACAACCTTAAACAGGCTTCTTCTACATTTAACCTTTGGTGCACATCTCAAATATACTCCAATATACTCCGTTCTTCATTAAATCCTAGGTTGAATTTGGCTGATTCAAATTTTCTTTTTCAGTGAGTAAAAAATATTAAAAACAAAATACATTTAAAAAGAAAAACAATTTCACAGGCTCTTCGAAGAAGCTTGAAAGCTTTAGATCAGACTAAAAAAAAATTAAGGAATGTTTGTTCCCATTGTGGCTCAAGCATGTGTAAAAAAACAAACCGTGCAACAGAGACGGCATTTGATTTGGATTTTATGGACCAAAAAGCTTCCCGATCTGCAGAATTCATCAAACAGTGAAAGTTTGGTTGTTTATTTTGTTCAAATTGAGTGTCTGATTGCTGCATGTTTACTCTAACTGCTTATCGGTTCCAATGGGCAGGGTTCTGGTTCCTGATGAAAACTGTTTTTCTTGTACAGCACACCTAATCAGTAGTTTAGTTTTTTTCTTAAAGGGTCCAAGTTATTTATCTCCTCAGTAACTCCTCCTGACCAATCCAATATTGGCTGCAGAACTTTGCATTTTCCTGTTCGCTGTATTAATAGAGAAGTCACCAAAGCACCTCTGAAAACATCATTTAGCACAATCCCAGAGTTTTAGACAAGAAATGGAAAGTTTTGTTTCAGTGTCACTACTGGGCCTTTTTTGAAAGTGCTCATGGATGTTTAGGTACAAAGATGTATACAGGAATGTATAGTGTCTGTTTGTAAATAGTTATATTTATATAACCTCTGCAAAATGTGTGTATACATATAATGTATATGTGTGTGTATAGGAAACTGACTGTGACAGAATTATTTTCATGCTTCATTTCTGTTTTAGCTGCGCTATATCCTGGTCTTTTGAGTTTGCAACCTGCACAACACTGGGGCAAACACTAGGTGTCATTATTACGTATTGCTCCATTAATGTGAACCTTAAAGCAGACTTGAACCTCTTCATGCAAGGACTATTTGTGTCTTCTGGGACCCTTGAATGCTTTGCTCTTCATTTTATCTGAGTAACAGACATAAGGTATTGTATTTTAGTAAATTGTAAGTTTGATCATAGTGTTTTGATGAGGCTGTGATTTAAGCTTAAACGTGTGATTTATCTGTCACATTGCCTGCAACCAGCTTTGGCTTTTCTTCAGTAGGTTACATGTTTTATTGAGTGAACTCATCATAATTGAACCTAAATGTGATGTATCAACAACACTGTTACTGTGAGTGGGTTTCTTTGTTTTACCCTTTTTTCAGATTTTTGCTCTAAACTGCTCATCAATCATGAAATAAAGAAACCAAACCTGATATGTCTTTGATCTGTTTAGTGATTGATTGCAAAGCAGAGTATTACCAGGCAGGGGTTGGTAAAAACCACTTCTCTTTATTCAGTTACATGTAATTGAGTAACTTTAAAAAAATATATTTTCTACCATGGCCTCATTTGCACTGTTGAAAGATAAATATCACCTTTTAAATTCTGATTTCTTTCGCTATCTTCAGATGCGACACTTTTTCGCTTCACAAATGCCCAAATTCTCAACTACGATAGAGACAGAAAGCATTGATGAAATTTTGTCGCTAAATCCATCAAAGAAAGGTCTAATGTCTAAATTGTACAACATTCTGCTGGATCTTAAAAACCCCTCTGTGGCTTGGGAAAAAGACATAGGTCTCCCCATATCTGATGACCCCTGGTCTTCTGCTCTTGGGCTGGTCAACTCATCCTCGCTTTGTGCTCGGCACCGGTTGATCCAGTTTAAGGTGGTACATCGGGCCCATATTTCTAAGGCTAAGCTGTCATCTATGTACCCTACAGTCAGCCCACTGTGCATCAGATGTAATCTTACGGAGGCCTCTCTTTCCATATGTTCTTCTCATGTCCTCTATTAAGCAACTACTGGAAGGCAGTCTTCAATACATTATCTTGCACATTTAACACCAAATTGGAACCAAATCCAGTTGCAGCCCTATTTGGGGTCCTTGAGGGTGGAGCTGTTTCAAGTGCTACTAGAAAATATTCTATAGCCTTTGCTTTACTTTTGGCACGTCGTGCAATCTTACTCAGATGGAAAGATGCCTCCCCACCATCTCATTCACAGTGGCTGCAAGATATTATGTCTTGTCTAAAACTCGAAAAGATCAAGTACTCACTTAAACAGTCTCTTGATACATTTGAAAATTTGTGGGTATATTGTATTATATCTTTGTGCTTCATTACTTGACTTGTTCTATTGTAGTTGCCATGCTACTTTCTCTATTTGTGAAGCTTATATTTCTTTTACTTTAACAAACTTTTGTATGAGCAACTTGTTCAATTGGCTTCTATAAGCCTACCTTGCAACATCTTATAACTGTGCTCTGTTTTTTGCCTATGTAAAACTGAATAAAAAATATCTTGAGTAAAAAAAAATAAATATATATATATTTTCAAGAGTAGTTTTGTTGTACTGGACTTTTTACTTGGATAAAAACATTAAGGATTATTTGTACTCGTACTTGAGTAAAATCTGGTGATTACAAAATGATTTTGTTGACGCTCCTTTTTTTTTTCTATGACGATGGCGAAAAATGAACATAGACATCATGGATCTTTAATAAAAACATTACAAGTCGCGGGTGCGAGTGTTTATTGATGTGACGAGACAAGATTATGTTTGTTGGTAGGTATGTCTGATGTGTAAAATGCATCAGAGTGCAGAACAGTTCCCACTCATTACTCCATCCAATGTCTTGCCCACAACCAATATCAAGTAAATTAGAAAAGAATCCTGAAGGAGTAAATCATGATAATCTAATTAGAAGCAAAATAAAGTTTAAACTATTACTGTAATTGTGGCTTATTTAACATATTTACTTCTTCAATAAGTATTTTATTTAATTACTTCATTTGGGATGATCAAATTGATTTATATTGTCTTTCAGAAACCTAAAATGAAATATCTGCCCTGTATGTAATCTAATCAACAAAAAAACTGTGTATCTTGTATACACTGGAAATCTGGTATTGAACATTTTAAAACACTTAAATTTTATGCCAATAATTGAAATGTTTGGAGGATTATTGTCAGAATTATTTCCTTGTGGATTTCACTGCTACTAACAATAATATCAACCTCAAGATGGTGCCAGAGGCAAAGTAAAATATTTTATTGCTGTTGATTGAGAATGCAGTTGGGCATAAATCTGAATTCTGAACAGAGCGAAGGTTATAATGCAGTTCCTCATAGGTGGGAAATTTTAGGCCTGTGACCTGGAAACTCACAAGATGTAACCTTTTTATCCAGTTGATATTAAAGCTTATGATGTATCTTTGATTATTCTTCAGGATATCAACACTAATATATCAATGCAGCTTTCCTTCTCAGTCAAAACTAATGAGCGTCACTGGGATGGAAACCTTTTCACAAGCTTCTACGTGTAACACAATGCCCTATTTTAATGTCCATGTGAAGCTTAAACAGAAAACAAACCAACAGATGTAACGTAAACATACACCCTGGTCTCTTCGACTTCTTCCTGTATTAGGATGACTAATGCTGGAGACGGCTGATCTTCTAGTGTTTTATTTAGAAAAGCTTTTAACACAGCTGTAGTCTGTGACCCACTTCTAGAAAGAGTGCTAGAAATGAGGAAGGGGAAGCTCACAGAGGTGCCTCATGAGAAAACATGTGAACAGAAAGGAAATGTAAAGGGATTTGAAAGAAATAATTTTATTATCAAGATAACAGTAGAAAAGCCAATTCCAGTTTTTGGCGTGTTTATAACCTTTTTTTTAAAAATATCTTTCTTTAATCAGTTGAGAAAGTTGATTAATCTTTAGGTAGTAAACAGCAACGGATGCGCTCATTTACCAACCAAAACTTGCTCTAGTTTTGGCTTCTTGTTGTTTACTTTTCTTACAACATCATCATATCACTTGGAGTACAGCAACATGTACTTATTTAGTGATATTATTCCATTTTTACATGCATAGTAGACAGCGGTCATCATGATATTTTAAATTACTACAAAAGGCTGTTTCCCATGAGAGGCTGTTGTTCTCTGCACATCTGCAAAGGTGTAAATTGATAAATGACATCTGGTGGCTCATGCAGTTTTTACCTGCTAATTAGCTGTAAGAACATCTGTTGTTTTAATATATTGTATATATTTGTTTGCATATTCCATTCTCAGAACTTGAATTACGTGAACATTTCTGCAGGACTAAAATGTCAAAACAAACTTCAACTTCCATGAAGTTCATTTGAATCAGAACACACTAACTGAATCTGCATTAGGAGGGTTAATTGCATAAAAGCTTTACTGTTGGTTAAGCTATGATATGTAACTGTGGCAGGAAATGACTTTATGCTTATGCATATGGTCATTTAACTTTTTGTGTAAAAAAGAAAAAGTTACAGTGATTTAATGCAACTCAGAACAGGACTACTCGTACTCGTACTCGCCGTCTCCCGCTTTATCCGGGTCTCGGGGGCAGCAGACTAAACAGAGACTCCCAG